CCTCTCCCAGCCTCTCCCAGCCTCTCCCAGCCTCTAGATTTGGCCAGTGTCAATTGAAACAAGATTTTGGAGAGGAAAATTTAATTTTTAATTCTAGTCTTCCAGTTCTTCACTGCCTTTTTTTTCAATTTGAAACTTTTGACTCCTTCTCAAAGAAATTCTCCCAAATCCTTCTTTCCCTGGAGACAAAAAAGAGCCAAAGTTATTTATTGCCATGTTAAGGGGACTGTTTACAGGTGCCCTCCCACACTGCCCAGACCATGAGGGACAGCCCCATCTTGTACCTTTCACTGTCTACGTACCCAAGTTCACCACATCCCCATCCCCACTCCGTTGGGATGCAGGCACACACAGGAACCGATGGGCGCTGTGACACCCAGGGCAGGTGGGGAACTGTAGGGGCTGAAGGAAATGGTAGAAGTTGCAGAGGGTTTGTAGGAGGTGTTGGCACAGAAGGTGATTCTGAGAATGTTGGTGTCCCCACACCTTGGGGCCAGTGAGACCAGCCCTGGAAAAGAGGTTGTGTTTGGGCTGCCAGGGCATATCGCCATTCACGGAGCCCGTCACCCCTTCCCTTTCCCCAGGACACGCTGTTGAAGCCAGCCCACCCCTGTTCCCTGGAGCACCTCCACACTGCAGGCTGCCCCTCCTGGAACACAGCCCCCCATTCCCAGGACACATCTCCCACCCTCGCTCCGGCAGCCACCACAGCCTGCCTTCACCTCACCGCTGTATACCCCGTTCAGAAATAAACCGCCGTTATTCCACCCAGGCCGGCTCTGATCTGTCCCCGAGGTGGCCTGGGCACACATGGCACATGGCCACCTCCTGCTGCTGCTACATGTCCCCAGGGCTCAGCCCTGCTCCATGCCAAGTGACAGCTCCTGCATCTGTGTGGGTCAGCCCTGCTCTGTGCTGGGTTGATGGTGTCCTGGTCCCCAAGGGTCAGAGCCCTGCTCCCTGCCAGGATTATGGCATCCTCATCCCTGTGAGTCAGACCTGCTCCGTGCTGGGGTGACGGCATCCCGGTCCCCAAGGGTCACAGCCCTGCTCCGCCCCCTTTCTCAGCCAGAAATAACTTCTGTCCCGTGGCTGGACCTTGGCATCTGGGCTGGAGCCCAGGGCGGGTTGGGGCGAGCAGCAGGAGCCCAAGGGTGCCGTGAAGGGCCAGCAGAGGCCACCGAGTGCTGGTGGCTGCAGCTTGGCTTCATCCTCATCCCCAGTGCAGCAGGAGAAGCATCTTCAGTTCCCAGCATCTGGGGTATCCCCTGGCCAGGTAGGGAAGGTGAGGTCCCACGTGGGGGTCAGCAGGTGGGTGGGTGGACAGGGCTTGGGGATGTCCTTGGAAAAGGGGACACCACCACTGTGGGGGTCAGGGTACAGTGTCCCTGGAGTGGGCAGAGGGAAGGATGGGGTGCAGGTCCCCAGCTTGTTGTGTGGATGGTTAATGCTGAACTCAGAGCTGGCAGGGAGCTGTGCACCAGGCACCCCAGCCCCATGGGAGCCCCCAGCACTGCAGGGCCCTTAGGGGAAGCTGCCCAGCATCAGCCAGAGCTGACGGATGCCAGATGCACCTAAGAGGGTCAAACAGCCCTTGTGGAGCCGAGTGTCCCGGCAGCACAGGAGGGCTCTGCTGTAGGTGGGCAGCTCAGGGGGCTCTGCCTGGGGCTGGTTTCCAGCTGCCTCTCCACAATGGAGCAACCCAGCTGAGTGGTCCCATGACCCTTCTTGCCGCTGGCTGGGCTCACCAGGTCCCGGCAGGTTCAGGGCTGCAGCTCCTGCAACCCTTGGAGCCAGCAGCTGAAAATAGCTCTGCTAAGGCGGAGGTGCTGGGGGGCGGGAGCCAGGGCCCCCCCTTGTCCAGCAGCTGCTGCTCCGAGGGCGCTTGGGGCACAAGGCTCACTCTGGGCAAAGACAGCGGCAAGGACAGGTTTTGCCCTAAAGAAAGGCAGAGAGGAAGAATGACAGGCAGGGGCTGAGGGGCAGCGTGATTTGAGCATTCCCTATGTCTGTTGAAGGGGACAGAGAGCGGTGCAAGGAGATGCTTAGGGATGATGCTGAACAGGGCTGATGCTTGGGGGGTGATGCTGACCAGGAGAGATGCTCAGCTGAATCCTAGCATCTCTCTGGGGCATGCCTGGGGCTGACATGTTCCCATGTTTGGTGTCACTCCTGGAGTGCCTCTCTCTTCCAGCCAGCCAGGATCCATCCCCCTCCCACAGAGAAGCCCCAAGAGCATAGCAGGAAGTGATGGCCATCATGAGACCGGGCCCTGGAGATGGTAAGGGGGTGCAGGTGTGTCACCAGACTGCTGCCTGGGGGCAGACCCAGCTCTGGTTAAGACCACTTGCCCTACTTTTGCTGGAACAGTCCATGCACAAGGGTGGGAGAGGCTTCTTGAACCTCTGGAGCTCCCTGACAATTCCTCACATTGAGGAAACTCCAGCCCCTGGCGTGTGCAAATGGCCCAGCCACAAAACAGAGATCCCAATGAGGGGATAATGGTCTGTGCTGGTTGGGGTCCCCAACACTGCAGCATCCTCAGCTGTGGCTGTGCTCTCCCAGCCTCCTCAGAGCCCCAGCTGGACCTGGGGAAGAAGATGAGCACAGCACAGGACCTGATGATCGAGGAGCTCTCCCTGCAGAACAACCGCGGCTCCCGGCTCTTCCAGCAGCGCCAGAAGCGAGTGCAGCGCTTTGTCTTTGAGCATCCCCGCGGCTCCAGGCAGGTGGGTCTGAGGACAGCCCTTCCCTGGCTCTTGCAGCCTTGCCAGAGAAGGAATTCCTGCCGGGGTCAGTGGTTTCTCTGCAGGGCAGCCATGGTTGGCTGACTGCTATGCAGAGGTGAAGGGAGAGATGTCTTGGTGGGCTGGGCATGGAGATGGGCAAACCTGGGGTTCAATATCCACCAAAGAGGAGGGAGATGGTGCTGATCCCCCTCTGCACCCACCCATTGTCTCCTGCAGCTCCCAGGGCAAGGGGCAGGTGGCTCACACCACACTGGGAAAGGTGATCCAGAAGGAACAGTGAATGAACAGATGGTGAGTAAATGGAGGAAGCTCTGAGGTGCTTTCAACCACCCCAAGTCCCAAATGGGCAGGGGGAGCTCCCCCTGTTCCTGCTAACTCTCCCCTCCACAGGCAGTGGAGAATGCTGAGGGCCAGGAGAATTACCACTCCGAGCTCCACGTAGCAGCATCCCCCCAAGGTGGCCCTCCAGAAGTACCCAAGAAGTCAGAGAAGGTTTTGCACATGAGCAAAGTCCTGAACCCCAGTGCCCTGGCCCCAGGTAAGTGAATGCTTCCTGCACCTGAACCCAGCACTGCTGTGATCTCAGCAACACGGGGCTGGAGGCAGTGAGCTGCTGAGGGGTCTGCCCAACCCTCCCCCAGAGATTTTATATGTACAAATATGTATCTATATCTATTTGTTATAATACACATTCCCAATAACATGTCTTCCATGGCCACGCAGAGGCTGAGCTGTTCCCAGCCCCCTGCCTCAGCCTGGCTGTGGCCCCAGCAGCCCACACTGTCTCTCCCTTGTGCAGGGTACTCGAGCCCCCTTAAAGAAATCCCTCATGAGAAGTTCAATGTCACTGCCATCCCCAAGGGCTACCGGTCCCCATGGCAGGAGCTCTTTGGTGACAGTGACAGTGCCGCGTATGGCAAGAACCCGCCGCCCATGAGACCCCCTGCGTGGGACTTCAGGAGCTTCAACAGGTAACAGGGCAGACACCGCCAGCCACACCAGCCCTTGGCCAAACCCTTCAGCCTCCAGGAGCACCCACCATCCTGCCAGGGAAATTCCACCATTCATGCCCACTTTATACCCCACAGGGGCACAGCGTGGGCTCAGAATGCTCTTTTCCTACTCAGGAGCGCCTCTGTGGTTCCCTGCAAAGGCTCTTGCCTCCAGCAGCTCTCCCCCAGATCTCCTCTCAGCTCCACTACTGGGCTTGTACAGCCTTAAGCAGCTTGATCTCACTGGGTAACCTCAGGGATGAAATTTGGGAGGACCAGTTCTTACACACATGGTCCTGGAGAAGGAATCGCTCCTGTTCCCAGCTGGGCTCAGCTCTGGGCTGGGTGGAGGAATGACAGAGTGCCAAGTCTCTTTCCTAATTTCAATAAGGTATTCAAGCAGCTGCTGGAAGCAGTGGGGGTATAAGGTTAATCTTCCCACAGAGTACTAAGAGGTCACCAGATTCCATCCAAACACCTGCTTGAGCCCAAAGCCTCCGTGCCAGGGGGTTTCTGGTGGCTCAGCCTGGCAAACTCCGTGCCCTGTGGGTGCTTCTGATGGAGCACAGCTGGTGCCTCCTCAGACCTCCAAATTACACTGGGGTCAAAGGTGGGACCCTGCAGCAAAGACTGCCAAGACAGATCTCC